AAAGCAAATAATATATTTGTAAAACTTAGATTAAATCATCATGCCAAATAAATGTTGTGTGTATGCTTGTCACACTAACTATCAAAGTGAAAAAAACAAAATATCTAGTGAAGTTAATAAAATATCAGTGTATCAGTTTCCAAGTGATAACGTTGAGCGTGAAAAATGGATAAAAGCTGTTCCAAACTCTAATTTGGTTGTTACCAAGTATACTGTTATCTGTGAGTTACACTGGCCTCCAAATTTTGATACAGTTATAGTGTGTGGAGGAAAACGTCGACCAAAAAATCCTCCTTCTGTTTGGTTAGGAATACCTTTGTCTCAAATTCCAACTGGTTATCCAACTAAAAGATCTACCAAAAGATCTTTAAGTGGCATTAGAAGTACATTAGATGATGAGCTAGATACATTTCTTAAAAGGGATAAAGCTACTTTTTGTGACATTAAAAACAAGTTTATTGATAGCAGTGATCACCAATATCCAGTTATATCGTTTATGGTTGATGGCTATGTTATACAATCTTTGCAATTTTTTAATAGAATACCTTTTTTGTACTTAAAATTTATGAAAATCTTACCTTTGAAACGCTTCATTATGCGATTAAGTTTCACATTTCTAGCTTAACAGTAAATCGAATCTTAACTGTTGACTCCTGGTCTAAGTTTGATGAGATACTTTGTTATTTAAATTGATAATAAAAAAGAAGTAATTATGCAACATGTTTCAGTTATGGGACCAAAATTATTTGGAGATAAACTTTATACACCTGAAATACTTATAAGCTCTTTTGTATATTTTTTAACATCAAGGGCATTATATAATCGCTTAAGAAATGATTATCAACTTCCGTCTATTTCAACACTGACTCGAATTACTTCAAAAATTTCTAATATTAATGAAAACAAATTTATTTATTCAATTTTTAACTCTCTTCCGATAAGCAGAAATTATGTATCATACTACATGACGAAATATATGTTAAAAAAAGTTTGCATTACCATGGTGGAACTATTTTTGGTAGATCGGAGGATAACCCAGTGGAATTGTCCAAAACATTGTTAGGGATTATGGTTGTTTCTTTAAATGGGGGTCCAAAGGTGTTAAAATGATACCAATATCAAACAAGATCTGATTTTTTGTTTGAACAGATTAATTTAACTAGTCAAATAATTGATTCAGTCAGTGCAAATGTAAAAGCTATTATATGTGATGGGAATCGTGTCAATCAGACTTTTTTTTAAATGTACACATTCATTCCGGGAAAACCATGGTTAACAGTAGATGGAAAGTATTTACTTTATGATTTTGTACACCTCATAAAAATATTCGTAATCTTTGGTTAACTGAAAAAACTCAGGAATTAATACTTGACGATAACGGAGTAACCAGGATTGGTTAATGGACTCATTTAAAGCAGCTTTACAATGCTGAATCCAGAAGCTTTTTAAAGCTATCTGACCTGAATGAAACTTCTATTTCTCTTAAACCTGTTGAACGACAGTGTGTATTAATAGTTTTAAGAGTATTTTCAAAAACTTATGCTGCTCTTTTGCAACATCCTGACATGATTCATATTGATGTTAATGACACTGCTATATTTATTAATAAAGTTATTATTTGGTGGAAAATTTTAAATGTCAAAGCCATTGGTGCTGATACAAGGCATAATGATCCTTTGCAGGCTGTTATCAACAATCCTGATGACAACCATTTAAATTTAATACTACAATTTGGTGATATGGCACTTAAAATGGCAGGTCCCAAAGGTAAGCATATTAAACAGCTTTCTAAAGATACTGCAACTTGTATACATCCAACTTGTTATGGACTAGTAGATTTTTGTAGATATTTACTTAACACTACTCAAAACTATGTACTTCTTGGTCAATTTACTTTAGATCACCTGGAAAAAGAATATAGTATACTTCGTCAAAGTTCTGGTGGCACATATTTTCTTAGTGTTCAACAAGTTATTGAAAAATTACGTATCAAACATGCATCTTTACTTTTGAAGTTAAATGTAGATATTGACAATTTAAATGTGAAGTCTGGTCATCAATGTGCGTTATGTGATTACAAATTGTCTGAAGACTGCTGTGAAATTCTTGATAACTTGCAAGATCTAGAATCTTCAATTGCTGATGATGTCAAAATGTCACTTATTCACATTGCTGGTTATGTTACACGACATGATAAAGAACGAACTGATTATGAACTTTTAGATCAAAAAACATTCTATTATCAGAAATATGGTCAAATTTTCTAAATTTTTGGATCGTGGTGGATTAAAAATTCCAACTGATAATTTGTGCCAATGGACATTTTTTGTTTTGTAGTTTTTCAAATAGTTAAAGATCGTGTATGCAGAAAATCTTTAAGTAGTATTTCTATGATTATATCAGACTATTATTTATTGGATATGGAAGAACATCATTGTATAATATTAAGCAACATTTTTTAAAAAAATTTATGTACCACTGTCACTCCAAGATCTGGCAAAAAACCTGTACTAAAACTATTAAAATCTACTTAGTTGTCTACTGTTTATAATATATTTAGTATACTTTCTTATAAAAGATTTATAAAAGTTTCATATATTAGTTGTTTTTTTTCAGATTTTATTAACAATTTTAATCAAAATTTATCTAATATTTTTTGTTTGGTTTAATAACATTTCTACTCAATATAAGAAAATATCAATTTCGTATTTAGCTGTTAAAGCCAAAACTAAAGGTGAAATAATATAATTATGTAAATGTGTGAAATTTGAAATTAGAAAAAATTTCTTTGCCTTTTATTTACATTGTTTATTACTTAATACTAATTTTCTTTTATCATCAAAAAAAATTATTAGGCTATACAGAGAATTAAAATTACTTTTTAGTTTTAAAATTACGAAGTTATTATCTTTTTTGCTGTAAAAAAGTAGGCATCCACAAAAAAAAAAACAGGTTGCGCGATAAATAGGCCTGTAGTAGAGAACACTATGAAATATATACACACACGCATATATTAGTAAATCTCACTTCAGTTGAAGCAATTGAAAGCCGTTTTCCATATTGCCATCTACGATGTAAAGAAGAAAGAACATTTGCACAGCAGTGGACAGCTCTAAGAAGACACCTTTCATCTTCGTCAGGGTGTACAAATCTCTCTACCGATCCAAGCATCTAAAATATTATAATTTTTTTAAAATCTGCAACATTTAGGTGGAAAAAGCAACTTGCCAAAAAATATTTAAAAAACCGAACCTGAACATCAACTTCTAGCATATTCTCACTGATTTTCGTGTTACTTGAACAATTTACCAGAACACGCAGTATTTGTATCTATAATAATATATATAACAAAATATAATATATATAACAAAATATAATATATATAACAAAAGTTAAATTATTTAATATATTTTTGTTTTAAACATACCAATAAAATTTACTTTTATTTAAATTAAAAAAGTATATTACCTTGATTTGCAAAATTTTACATTTTTGAAGAATCTCACAAAAAGTATTTATATGAACAACAATAAACTCATGATTCTCCTCCAAGGTTGTTAAGTTCGTAAGAGAATTCAAAACTGCAATATGCAATGTAACAGTTTTGTTGTTCATCTTGGTATTTTTTAATATATGTACTAAGGTTGGAATGTATTCCTAAAATTATAAAAAAACATGACAAAAGCAAAGTTAGAAAAGCATTTCAAATTTATGATTGTATGGATTAATCTGATTGGCTGGTTATTGTTTTAACTTGTACTAACTAACTAGTACTCAAAAAATCTTAAACCTAGATATACTCTCAAAACACTTAAGTGCACACATAATTTTTTTTAGAGAATTTAACACTTAAAATCATTCAAAAAACCCACATAAAGCAAATTTATTTCTTTATGTAATATTAACAAATTTTAATTAACAAGTTAAGTAACTATTTCAATCAGGATAATAAATTACCTTTAAAATACTTTGATTTCTTTCATTGTTAGACAGGTTATTGATAAGAAGAGCCGCAGCCAGCTGCACTTCTTCATCACAGTGATTTAATAATTTTGCTATTTTGTGAAGATATGATAAATCATGGATTCTCACCTTAAAAATACATATATACACATTTTTTTGAATTATAAGAATTTTAAAATTTTAAAGTATTTTTAATTATATTACTTTTGTTTTTATTTTATTTACATTAATATTTTATTATTTAGTATCTTGATTTTGTTTGTATTGATTACTGCTGTAGTAACAATAAATGGCAGCAACAAATTAAAAACAATTTAGTAAGTTGCAATTGATGTTTTATACACTTTTACAGTGTAATCTAATACTTACACCACATAAATTATAACAAAATTAATTGCTAGTTAAAATTTCTAGTATCTATTGTTTATGAAAATTGTCAAGCTTTTAAGGTTTCTCTAACACTGTAATCATTACCTAAATGTATTTTATTACTGGTATCAATGTTATAATCTTCAATTTATTATTATTTTACTTTGTCTCAAAATTTAACATACCATAAAACTACATACATAAAACTACATTTGTGATAAACCTTATAAACAAACCGTAAACCTATCTTTATTATAAAACTTATAAACAAATCATAAACCTATCTTTGTGATAAACCTTAGAAACAAATCATAAACCTATCTTTGTGATAAACCTTATAAACAAACTATGCGGAAGTGCAAAATAAAATACATTTTTAATAATAATTTTTACTTTGATTATTGTGAAAGCGCTTAACTCTATGAGCTTGTTTAAAACATTGAGTAGAACTTCTTTCTTTACTCTGCTGTCATCTAATGTTTGGAGAAGTTCTAACAGTTCATCTAAAAGTAAAATTACTAAATACTCAACAAGCATTTTTTAGAAGCAGTAAAAGCTATTTTCAGTAAAAAAAATTCTTGACAATATAAAACAAATGAAATTAAAATGAATAGACAACACATTATATGTGGGAACAGATAAACAATTAAAACTATAATAAATCATAGATCATCCAGGTCATATTTTAAAAATCTGGAAAATTGTTTGGGTAAAAAATCCAGAATTTTCCCTTGTATTCTTCTTAATTTTTCTTTTAGTTGTTTTAAATTTAACTTTTTAACTTTTCTTAATTTTTCTAAGAGTAATTTGTGAAAAAGCTTAAAAAACAAATTTATTACAAAAATATATATAAAATATATTAATACCTAAACTTGAATGTATGGAAAACATTTTTGATATCCGGAAAATTTAGAAAAATATATGGAATTCCGGAAATATCCGGAAAAATATAACCCCTGATAAATAGACAATATATGAACTACTATATAAAAACAAAACACTCAGTGTTCTCTCTGCTCAAAAAAATATTTTTTAAAATATTACTACTTTGAATTGGGAGAAAAGAACCACATGCATGTGCAGTGTGTTGGACAATATTTGCTTTTGTTATTAATGATGTTATGTTGTGAATTACATTTGAAGTAAGCAAATGTTGTGAATTGTACTTCAAATGAACGAATATTATGAATTGCACTTAAAGCAAATGAATGTTTTGAATTGGACTTCAAGCAAACAAATGTTGTGAATTACACTTGAAGTAAACAAATGTTGTAAACTGCATTTGAAGTGAACAAATGTTGTGAATTGCATTTCAAGTGAACGAATGTTGTCAATTGAACTAAGTAAGCAAATGTTGAAGTGAAAAATGTTTTTATAACAGCAATTATAAAAGTATTTTCTTTACAATCTTTTTCACTAACTACAAGTTGTCTAAAATTAATAGATTACAAATAATTAGCTAAGGCTGCATCTCTGCATTCTCTTAGTATTTTATACAAATACTAACATGGTCACTGCTCAAATGACTCTCACAAATTGTTTTATTAATCAAAACTCAATCTTCCATGACTCATCATTCTGCAAAGTTTTACAAACTTTTTTTCCTACAATTGTTTCTTCATACTCAAAATTTTTATTCATTTAATTTTTTTACTTGAACATTGGTGGCTTAATGTTCTCTCCTGTCTTCATGCTTTCGTGATACAAAATACAGTTTTACTCTTCTGTCTTCTTTCTTGCTTTTTTCTTTCTTTCTATTCCCAACTTAAATAATAGTGAATTTAAATAATAATGATTGCATCCTGGTTTGTTAAAAAAAAAAAGTTCTTAAAATAAAAATTTTCGAAAACATTTTTCAGTAAAATGAAAGGAGACTGGTTTCTTATTTAAAAAATTTTATGAAAGCAAAAAAAAAAAAAATTAAAGTATAAAACAATTTCATAAACTAACTCATATATCACTATATATCTGAAAATAAGTTAAGTATTGCATTTGGGTTTTAACAATTTTCTACTGATATTTGTTTTATATGTACCAACCAATGCATAAAAGTTTATTCTAACTTCAAACACTGCACGCCTAGTTAGTGCAAAAAATTTAATACAGCTTATTCTAGATAATCTTATTTCCATAAAAACTTGAATGTGTTTAAATTTACCTGTTACTATGATCATGATAATCTATTTTTTAAACAAAAAACACTCACTTTGTATTTAGTAAAATAATATATATATATATATTATATATATATATATATATATATATATATATATATATATATATATATATATATTTATAATAATAAATAATAAATAATAAATCTCTACAATTCTGATAATGGTATCTTTCATCAATAATATGTTTTCATTCTAGTTTCAAGATGAGTCAATCTTTACATTCTAGCTATTTACAGATCTTTTAATGATTGCTTAAAGCCTTTAATTGTTCATTTCGATGACACTTTTTCAAAACATTCCTTTTTTTTTTGAATTTTATAAGACATAACACCTTTTGATGACATGGATAAAAAGACAAGCATTTTTCAAAACTTTAAATTAGTCATCATATTTTTTATAACCTGGTTTTTCAAAAACATTAAATGTATAAAGTAAACCATTTGCAGTATGTGTTGTGAGATATGAGAGATATTTATGAAACCCAGTGTAATTTTATTATACAGAAAATATTTATAGGTGAACATATTTAAGGGAAATACAAATTTAGAAAAACCTTATAGAACAACCAATATTCAATTTTAATCATTCTAAAATGCACCTAACAGTAGTTTGTGAGAAACCTAGATAACTGTTTTTTATTGGGTGTACAAATGTTTTTTTTTGAAATAGTAATAAAATGCAATGAAGATCAGACCACAATAAGTCATTATTATAATTACAATAAGTCATTTGGGTAATTCCACATCAAATCACCCAAAATTTAGGAAATTTTGAACCATGGTTCCTCAAATTTTTTAAAAACTTCTTTGGCTGTTGCATCTTTAAAAAAAAAGTTAAAACATAAAATTTTAGCTAAAAATGTCAAGCGGTTGACAAGATACTGCAATTTTAACATTGACCTGGTTTCCCAAAATGACCCGGTTTTCATAACAATTCTAAAAAAACATTTTTTTAAAAAAGAATATGAAATAAAAATGGCAAAAATATGAAAATAAATATATATAATGTTTTTTTGATGCTGAATTCAATAAATGTACTTAAAATGCTGAAATATAAAAGGAACATGCTTAAAAGTTAATAAAACAACTAGTTTCTATAATCCAACTTTGGGGCCCAATATCTCAAAACACCCCCGTCAAAATTTTTTTTATTTTGCTGTTAATATTTTCAGCTGCTTATAATCTTACTAGGCACAAAATATCTAACTGGAAAAAACAACTAAAACATATGGAACTTTAATTTTAAAGATATATCAAATTTTCAATAAATTAGTTTAAAAAACTTGCAAATAGAATTTTGTAAAATATTAAATTTAGTTATATTTAAGGAAGTCTTAATTATATAATAAATTTGTTATTTGATCTTAACAACTGGAAAAAACATCCTGTTTTGTTTTTAAAATCTGACAAGGTGTGATATTGAAGTGCATTTGTTTTTACAACTATAGTTTGTAAAAGTTTATAAAAACTAGTTTATAAAAAGTTCAGTTATAACAACATTATCGGTAAAATTTTATTTAAATTTTAAAAATTTGATATATATAGATTGTATATATATATATATATATATATATATATATATATATATATATATATATATATATATATATATATATATATATATATATATATATATATATATATATATATATATATATATATATATAAGTATTTATAAAGAAAATTAACAATATCTATCAATGTAAAAAATTATATAACAAAAGGATTCTGAAAAGGTTTGAATTACTTCTATATTCATTTTTTTTTTACTCAAAATTATGTAGAAAAGAAGAATTTTTTCCTTTTTTTTTAGGAAATACATTCATACTAAGTAACTTATTATAAGATGTGTTCTATTGGTTTATTGACATCAGATGAATGCAATGGCCAACAAGATGTTATTGAAACTTTAAGCAATAAAGAAAAAATAACTATATCATTACGCTGTAACATTGAGTTATCAAACTTAACGATATTATGTGAAAGACATACTACAAAATATTTGAAATTGTATCCTATATGGCAGAAAGCATGTTGTGATCCATTCAATAAACATACAAAAAAAATCACAAGTAAATAGATGTAGAATTTAAATATTATATATATATATATATATACTTTTTTAACTTGTATTTTCTAAAACATAAACAATGTTTTGAACAATTGTGCAGATAAGCTTTATACAATTCAATTACTTTTAGAAAATCTCATAGTAGTGACAATAAATGAGTCACAAGTCATGATGAGAAGTAGTTTGAATATTGCTCGTGGGAAGAAACTTTGCAAACCTTGTAAGCAAAAGATTGCCATAAAAGAAGATCTTAAAGAAAAGAAACAAAGCCAGGAAAAAGATGAGGATTTTCTAATATCATCATTCAAATCAAAAAGACAGGAGATCAATGAAGAACTCAAAAATTTTCATATATCTCCTCTAAAATCTCATTCAAAGTCATCAAAACATATTCTCTCAGAAGGAAAGCGAAAAATTGCGCGCATCAACGAAATGGTAAATAACGTTACTAGAAAAACTGAAAGTCAAGTCAATGTTCCCTCAAAACTGTGTTATGAAACAAATAACATGAGAAAGAAGGCTAAAAACTTTGATGAAATTATGAGCTTGATAAAAGAAAAAATTCTATGTTCTGACAAAAGGACAATTGTTCAACTTCTAACACTGGCACCCCCAAGTTGGTCGATATTAGAAGTACAAAATGACTTTGCAGTTACAGAATACCAAGCAAAAATGGCTAGACAAATTTTTAATAAAAAAGGATTGTTAGCTATCTCTCCATTGTATAAAGGTAAAATCTTACACAAAGAAATAGAAGATTCTGATTAATTGTTTTATGACTCAAGTGATTTATGTAGAACTATGTCTGGAAAAAAAGATTATGTTAGCATTCAAAAGAATTTCCATAAACAAAAAAAACTGCTTTTGTGTAATTTAAAAGAACTATATGTATTATACAAAGAAAACAATCCAGAAATACAAATAAGTTACTCAAAATTTGCTTCACTTAGACCAAAGTGGTGCATTTTGCCAGGTGCAAATGGTAAACATTCTGTTTGTGTTTGTTGTTATCACCAAAATGCCATATTGCTAGTAGATGCCTTAAATATTGGACTAAAGTATAAGGATTTACTTTCGAAAACCGTTTGCTCAGTAGAAAAAAAAGAATGCATGCTTGCACAGTGTGATAATTGTCCTGGTAAAGAAACCCTTACCAAATATATGTATGAGATTTTCGGAGAATACGAAGATGATTTTGAGATACACTACAAGCAATGGCAAACTACTGATTGTGCAACACTATTGAGTTTAACAGCAGATGTTTCAACATTTGCTGAACTATTAGTATCTTGCTTTGAAAAGCTACAAGCTCATTCTTTTATTACTCACTCTCAATCACAGTACCTTAACCAACTAAAACAAAATATGGATCAATCAAACATTATCATTATTGGCAACTTTGCTGAAAATTATACTTTTCTAGTCCAAGATGAAATACAAAGCTATCATTGGAACACCCAACAATGTTCTTTACATCCATTAGTAATATACTATAAAGATGATAAAGGTGTACTGAAACATATTTCTTATTGTTTTATATCAGACGACATTACACATGATGTAACTTATGTGTACAAAATATTTCAACTAATCATACCAATATTAAAAACAAAATTTTCCAATCTGTCCAAATTACATCTATTTACTGATGGTTGTGCAGGACAGTACAAAAATTGTAAAAGCTTTTACAATCTATGCCAACTAGAGAGCGAATTTTCCCTTAAAGTTGAATGGAATTTTTTTGCCACGTCACACGGAAAGTCACCATGCGATGGGATTGGCGGCACTGTAAAAATGTTAACAGCATAAGAAAGTTTAAAACGACCATACAGAAACCAAATTCTCACATCAGAAGCTATGTATTAATTTTGTATTGAGAAAATCAAGGTTGTTAACTTCATTTACATAAAGGGGAAAGACTTACAATTGCAACGCGAGGAGCAAAAAGAAATGTACACTGGTGTAACAACTCTACCTGGTACTCGTAGCTTTCATCAATTTATACATCTTGGAGATAACAGGGTTGGGGCAAAGAGGTGTAGTACAGACACTAATTATACAATAATTCACAACCTTAAAAAGAAACAAGATATATTTCAACTTGATACTGTCACTTTAGGAGGTTATGTAGCTATAGTCTATGATGATAAGTGGTGGATCGGCATTGTAACTGAAACTAACCTAGAAGAAGTTGATGTTAAAGTTTCTTCACCCAAAAGGTCCATCAATCTGTTTTAACTGGCCTGAAAGAGAGGACTACTGTTTTATTCCTTACACCAACATATTGAAAAAACTATCTGTTCCACAAGATTGCTCTAGTTCCGGTAGAAACTATGTGTTTGAAAATGCTGAAATAGAGTAAAATGGGAACAATATTGTGAACTATTACAAACACAGTCAAAATAACTTGCATCTTGAAAAATCTTTTATATTTAAATACATTTTTAAATTACGATTAACTTATTTTTATTTTATTTACAAACATTTTTTGGGAATTTTTTGAAAAAGTAATACATCTTTGATATTAAAGTTTTATGTTTCAGTTGTTTTTCCAGTTAGATATTTTGTGCCTAGTAAGATTATAAGCAGCTGAATATATTAACAGCAAAAAAAAAAAAAAAATTTGACGGGGGTGTTTTGAGATATTGGGCCCCAAAGTTAGTTTATAGAAACTAGTTGTTTTATTAATTTTTAAGCATGTTCCTTTTATATTTCATCATTTTAAGTACATTTATTGAATTCAGCATCAAAAAAATATTATATATGTTTATTTTCATATTTTTGCCATTTTAATTTCTTATTTTTTTAAGAAAAATATTTTTTTAGAATGTTATGTAAACTGGGTCATTTTGGGAAACCAGGTCAATTAAAATCGCAGTATCTTGTGATTTGATGTGGAATTACCCATTATTATAATTAATTTATAACACAATAAGTCATTATTATAATTAATTTAATAAATTATTTTAGTATTTTTTTTTTGATGCTTTAAGTAAAGATTTTAACTGAAAGAATAAGCTATCATAGAGAAAAGATTACATCTAAGATTGCCTGTTCTAAGCAAAAAACTGATAACTATAGTATAAGACTGAAATATATAGATGTTAGATCTTCTAATTAAGCCACTTTGGAAATAAAATTATCAGGAAGATCATTAATATAAATGAAGCAACAAACAGAACCTAAGAAAAAAACTTTATGGTACCCAAGAAGTTACTGAAAATAAAGAAGAGTTGTCCTCAAGAACAACTTTAGTACTGCAGTTTGCTCTCAAGAATAAATTTAAAACTGCAGTTAAAAAAAATTTAATAAACAAATTTTAAAAACTTTTTTAGATTCACAATATGAAGTAAGCTTATAGAGTAGGTCAGAATACTAGACTTTATTGAATGTCTTTGTTATGTCAAGACCAACAGCTCTTGCCTTTTTACTTCCACCTAATGCACAATAAAACTTTTAAGTTATAATGGTTAACAAGTCAGCAGTAGAAAATGAGAATTGAAACTTATATTGATTGTCAGAGTTGTTAGAATCAAAATTCAAAAATGTTACTAGTAATAGTATGAAAATTGAACGGGTGTTAAAGGAGTCAGAGAATTTTTCAAAATTTTCTAAATCTTTATCAATCAAAATCAATCCAGTTAAACTTAATAAAGTCATTTGAAATTCAAAAACAAAAAAACTGTTGCATAGAAAAATCAAGGTTTATTTGGTAATTTAAATTAAAGCATTTGAATACAACAGATTACACAAATACAACAGACCACACAAATACAACAGACTACACAAAAACAACACACTTCACAAATACAACAGACTACACAAATACAACAGACTACACAAATACAACAGATTACACAAATACAACAGACTACACAAATACAACAGACTACACAAATACAACAGACTACACAAATACAAAAGACTACACAAACATAATATAATTAGCACTTATTAGATTTTAATTATAGAGTGACAGAACCATTGAAATTATTTATAAAATATACTTATATATGTAAAATAATCAATAAATTAATCATGTTTTTAATTTGTTTTTAAAGTTGATAATGACACTTGATTTAAAAGTCGTTCATTTTCTTCTGGAAATTCTGTTTGTACATTAAGAAAATTCATCTGCTCCTTCATTTATTAGAACTTGAGAGTCACTTTTTAAATAAAACTCCACTTACTAAATATTGTGACTAAATCCCATCCCTATCTAACAATACAATCACTGTTTATAGTATTTGAAAAATTCCCACCCACCATTTTATCAAGTCTCTCTCTCCCTCTACTAGAAATTGAGAAAAATCCCACCCACTCCCCTTTTATATTCTTACCTCACCTTAAATTAAACACCTGAGAATGTAAACTCAAAGATGCTCAGAATTTTTTTTGAAAAAATTTATCTGAGGGATCACTAAGCTTGGTTAAAGTGTAACTTTTAAAATATATTAACACTTTATCACTAACATTTAGTCATTACACTATTCAATTAATAGAAAACATGATTCTGTAATAATATTGTTGTATAAACATCAATTTTTTGAGCAAAATCTAAAAATCATTATTATTCATGTGTTCTGATAAACACTATGAGACAAGGAGTAAAATTTAAAATGAACATTTCAGTTGCAGTTACATCAGATTAGCAATCATACATCATAAGCCTTGGTATGCTTTATAAGATAATTTATAAGAAAATAAACAATAATTAAAAAAAATAAACAACACCTTTTTCTGCAACCTTTACTTTTTTTTTAGATATATAATAACTAAGAAAGCCATAAGCAGCACAAGTAAATGCTAGCGATCCAATAACATATACTGATTTCATTATAAAGGGAATAGAATCTTCATGAGATTAAGTTTAAATAAATATATACTAAAAAACAAAAACTCATGTGTAACATGCATGACAAAATTATTGATAATGTGAAAAACATGTGTTACCTTTTAATATCTCTATTTATATTGCTCCCTTAAATTATCTTCTTTTCCTGTTCCCTTATATAACTTACTTGGTTCACAAAGCCAAGAAAAGTCAATTTAAAATCTATTTCTCAAAGCTTTTTAATATTAGGCAAAGTTATAACAAAAATATTTCAGTGTTTTTTCAATAAAATATATTTATAATTCAATGTTTTATATGGGAAAAAAAAAAATGCACATTAAAATATATGCACATTAGGGTACATTGTAATTTTAAAATTTTTAATTTGCCTGATAATTTTTATGGTGCTACTATATGTAAATGATGACTTGAGGAAAAAAAATTTGAAAAAAAAAAATGTATACCTATGAGCGATTGCAGTTTTTGGAAAGTTAACTTAAGACTTGTAATCAGACTTTCATTGTTTGAATGACATCATTTAATGTTCAGACAATAAAACTAAAATAATTATTTATAGTTAGATGGTTTTAAGAACAACCCGTGAGTCCTTTGAAATCGGAGGAGTATTATACAAATACCATAACAGGTACAGGAAAAGATCGATGTTTTTTGTCAAATCTGGAATAATTAACCAGGAGGCAATTATTCTGTCCATTTCAATGCTAACATATAACTGTTAAACTACATGCTCCAACTAATTTGGATTGTTTTACTCGCCTTATTGCAAAGTCTTTATCTAAAAATCTGTGTGGCTGTGGTGCAGTGGTTAGAGCGCTTGCTTTATAAGCAAGAGATCCAGATTCAAAACGAGTTCTGGACATATTTTTGCGTCACGGTAAGGAACGAAGGGTAAACTTCCTGATTAAATGCATTTCCAAGTTGCTCTGTGACAATTTTGATATTTAGGTACCCCAAGAAGACCGTTAGGTCTTTTTGGGGTACCTAAATAACAAAATTAAATAACAAAAATAAAAGTTAATGGCATAAAATGAATTGAAACATTTGAACCTATATAACAGCTGGAACCTTTGATTAAACATTCTGAAAAATGGGTAGCACAAGTATATTTTCATATGTAATATAAAAAAAAAAGCAAAGCACAGTTTTGTTGATGGCCATGTCACAGTGACAATGTTGTGACTACTGAAAAGACAAGATAAGAAAATTCTAAACATTGCCACACCATACATTTAATATGTTATAAAAAAAATTTTAAAAATTAGATTTAAATAAATTAAAAATTTCCCACCCCCCCACCCCCCTGCATTTATGCATTTATGCAATTTTATCATTATGCAATTTTATTTATGCATTATGCAATTTTATTTTATGCATTATGCAATTTTATCTTTCCGAAAACTGCAATCTCTCAAGGTAAAAATTTTTTTTTTTCAAATTTTTTCCCCTAAAAGTCATTATTAACATATAGTGGCACCATAAAAATTATCTGTCAAATTAAAAATCAAAAATTTTGAAAGTACAATGTACCCTAATGCACATAAAAGATTCTTTATCCTTGCCTAAATTAAATGGATAAATAAAATCCTTCTTTTTTGATATGTATATATCAAAAGTACATTAAATACGGAATATCAAGGGTTCAATTATAAAAAGTTAAATATAGGTATGTATGTATGTATGTATGTATGTATGTATGTATGTATGTATGTATGTATGTATGTATGTATGTATGTATGTAGATACATACATATATATATATATATATATATATATATATATATATATATATATATATATATATATATATATATATATATATATATAAATTACTAAAAAATCACTAAAACATTTTTCATTTAACACCGTTTCATCAATAAAGACTAATCAGAAGTCTTTTCTGATGAGTTTTATTGATGAGATTTCTGATTCTTCTGATGAGATTCTGAGAGTCTTTATTGATGAAGCACAGTGTTAAATGAAAAATTTTTGTTAAGTGATTTTTTATTAATTCATAATTGCTCTGTTATTTTAGAACATTGAGCTCTCTATTTTGCTGAATACATTTTAAAATTGTTTATATATATATATATATATATATATATATATATATATATATATATATATATATATATATATATATATATTATTATTACTATTATTATTATTATTATTACTATTATTTCATACAGAATTGTGTATGAAACATTACTTGTAACATGAGTTTTATCTAAAATGTCATCCAAATCAAATTCTAGGATTTGAATTGCATGACATTTTTGTTCTATGAATGTTAAAAGTTTGCTAACACATTAATATCAATTGCAACGCATTAATTAACAATTAATAACAATTAATATCATTTTTATGCATGTTTTTAATAAAGACAAGCAATTAGTTGTAATTACTTAAAAACTTTTTTGAATAAAATAAGATAAAAAAGTTTTTGGATAGAATAAGAATTCAAGCTCAACTTATAAACTATTACAAAATCTTGAATCAAGTTTCTCATTAACACATCAAAGATTAGTGAACTAGGCTTTAAATAAAAGAAGTGCAGAAAGTTGCAAATCTTATGGATTAAAATAAAGTTTTCTTTTTAAAATGTTTCTTTTTTAAATGTTTAAAATCGAGCTTGTCATATCTGGGGTAGTGAAAATCTACATCCTAATTTAAAAAAAAGCCTACTTTAGTGTACTTTTTGAGGACAAATCTGATATATCTGGTAACACTGTTACTGTTAATGTACTAACTATACACTATTGAGCTAAACAACAATGATTCTAACTTATCTAAAGGACACGAGGTTTAACAGAAGCTACATGTAATTCATCAAAAAAGCACTCTTAAGCTTTACTTAAACCGAAACTGATACACAGTAGTTTAGTATGCCACCTTATTTTTTTAATAAAAAAATAATTTTGAATGTTTTTATTTTTTTACTGTTTACATACATTTCTGACACATAGGTAGAACATATGTGAGAGGAGTGTTGCTACATCAACTGACAAATAGGTAGAACATGCTAAAAGTACTCCTACATTGACTGACAAATAGATAAAACATGTAAGGAGTGCTGCTATATTGACTGAGGGTTTTGGTTTCGGAAGGCAATCTATCAATTAAAAGAACTTTTTTTAAGTTACCAAACTTTTACTGGTTTTTTAAATAAACTTTTATTTTAAAAACATGAAGTTTATATTTTATGGTAAAAATTAAAAATGACCAAGCAAGAGTATATATGACATCATATTGAAAGAGTCTTAAGCAATTGCTTCAGCATACATTGATTGAGGGTTTCAGTCTTGGCAGCTAGTATCTATATATGAAGAAAATTTATTATAAATATAATTAAAAAAAAAAAAAACATTTTATATAAAAAAAACTTATTTTCGATCTTATTGCATAAAAACTATTTTTTTTTTTTTTGAAAAAATATTTAAAAATATAAACTATCTCATTTAATAAAATATGAAAAAGTTTATATTTTTAAAAGTTTTTTAAATTATTTTTTAAAAATACATTATTATTTGATTTCACATCTTCTGAGAACCAGGTTGACTTACATTTTTTACTTATTTCCAAATTTTTTTTAAAAATATTAGGGAACTTTTCAATAATCACGGCAGCTCCTAAAATAATTTTTATAAGCTTATTTTTAAATACAGTGTCATATTCTTATTAACACATAGGCGTCTAGCAACATTATCTCAAATAAGCATTTTATTAACACCCTAGCACCCTAACATATTCAAAATTAAATAAGAACAAAATGTTCAGATCTTCTTTGGAATATTTTATGAATAACACTTTTAAAAAACGTTTAAACTTTTTTTCATAAAAGTTTAAACTTTCTGTCAATAAATAAAACCCCTGCAGGTGACTATTTTCAGTATGCCATCAATTATGTTATACAGAATTAGGTTGCAAATTATTTAGGTCTTTTTAATGACAAAATAACATTTCAGTATATTATTGAGGCCTTCTTAATTACTATAAAATAATTGTAGCATTTTAGAACTTCTAAACTAAATTGTAGCATATTAGACCTTCTAAACAAGGACCAACATGCTGGATTTATTTTGTTGGGGTTACTATTATGCACCAAAAATATATATAAAAAAAACATTTATATTTCTGGTCAGAATATCATAAAAATATATTTTCAATTAATAAATAATAATAACAATAAAATTTATGACTTATAAAATTAAACTACAATATTGTACAAAAATTTATTCTGCAAAATACACATACACACATATACTTGCAAAGCCAATAAAAATTTTAGCTAATTTCAACATCTGAAAATTGAATAAAAAAGATTATTTAAAAATTTAACTTTCTTTTTCCTCTTTTACTTGCCAAACTTTTACATAAACAAAAGCACACATTGTGAATGAAAAGATAGTAATTAATTGCAATTGTTCTATACAACAATAATTAGACATCACCTAAGGCTTCCCGTTAAAAAAAGTCATTATTTTTTGAAAAAAGTCACAAATGCAATTACACAAAGAAGCAGAGTAACAAGAGAATTGTAATATATTAAATTTCTAAACTTTGGATCGAGATCACCTTGACGATACCAATATATCTAAGGAGAAAAATAACATTTTTTAAAATATTTTGATAAAAATTATTAAAATATTAAAAATATTATGATCAAAAAAACTTACAAGAAATATATTTGATATACAATTCATAACAATTGCTCCAGAAAATACAATATTAAGGGCTACCAAGTGAACAAAAGCACTAATTACTGTTGCCTAGGAATAAAACAATTATATAGCCAACTCTTTGTTTACATTTAAAATTCTCTTAATATATAAATATAAAAATTTATTTTTATACATTTATATTTAAATATCAGAATGTTTTTTAATTCCAAATGTTAAATTAGCAAAACTAATTTTGGTTACTAAATGAATAAAAAGGAATATTTAGAATAAAAACAATTATGATGTTGAATGCAACAAGTATGCAACATATTGCAATAGATTATAGCACAACAATATACTATGAACTTTAAAGAGTCTGTAGTAAATTGTGCCAGATTATAATATAAAACTACATTACATTATAAAACAAAAATGAAATAAATAAAAATAAGGTTATCACAAATGCTATTAACTTCAGCTAACTATAGTTTCAGCAGTATTAGCATTACTACTACAAATTTTCAAATTAAAATATTTCATCAAGCAAAAACATATTTTCATTAGATTAAAATTACATTAGTAAAAACACATTAGTAGATTAAAAAAGATCATGTGTATGTGTTTTTTCATGTATATATATATATGTTTTTTTTCATGTATATATATATATGTTTTTTTTCATGTTTATTTACCTCATCAAGGCCTTATTTTTGCTGTCAATTTACATTACTTTGAAAAAAACCTTTATACAGCTTTATTATGTCAAATTATACAGTGACTTTTCAAGTTCTTTCTGTTGTATGTTAGAAATCCTATATATCCTATTCAGAAAATCTGTAATATATCCTATTCAGGAAATCTCATTAAATCAAATAAGCATATGAACTTTTTTTTAATTTGAAGTCCACAATTTTGTTACATTAAATTATTTATAACTAAAAATTATTTTTTTTTTAAACTTTTTTTTAAATTTATAACACTTACAAGTACAGCAATAATTGTTGCAGCACCCAAAACATAGTTGCAGTATTTGTCCTATGAAATAGATAAATTTATTAATATTTGTCCTATGAAATAGATAAGTTTGTTAATATTTGTCCTATAAAATAAATAGATTTATTAATGTTTGTATTATGAAATAGATAAATTTATTAATATTTGTCCTATGAAATAGATAAATTTGTTAATATTTGTCCTATAAAATACATAGATTTAATAATGTTTGTATTATGAAATAGATAAATTTATAATTATTTGTCTTATGGAATAGATAGATTTATTAATGCTTGTATTATGAAATAGACAAATTTATTAATATTTGTCCTATGGAATAGATAGATTTATATATATATAATAAAATGAAATTTGTATTAAATTAAAAATCTTTTTATTTATTTATTCACTCTTATCTCAGATATGCATGCCAAGTTTGGGGACAATCTAAGCAGCTTGCTTTTTTAAGACTAACTTATCTCCAAAACAAAGCTCTAAAATTAATTTACTTTCAACATACTAATTCGAACTGTAGCATTCTATTTGTTTGGAACCAAAATCATAATAACTTACCTCTTACATTTATCAACTTTTTTAGTTATAGGGAAAACTGTAAATATATTCTACGATCTGCTCTCAACTTTAAATCATCTGTACCTAAATACCGAACTGTTCATTACGGCTACGAATCCATACAACATAAAAGCATACAAACCTGGAACAATCTCCCTTCCCAATTAAAATCTCTTAAATCTTTCTCAAAATTTAAAACTGCTCTCTTTAACCATTTTTTAGAAAAATACTCTTTATAAATCTTATACCTTTTTACAACTTATTATTAATAACTCTAACGTGGTGCTTCTATTCATCTTTTCTTTTTTTCTCTTTTCTATCGTGATATATTACTAATTTTAATATCAATTATTAAATTTATTATTATAAACTGATATGTTTCTATAGTATTCTCTTATCACTGTTGTTGTTATTATTACTATATTTTTATCATAATGAATATTATTGTAATTGTTATTATTGTTGTTGTTATTATTTTTGTTGTTATTATTGCTATTATTATTGCTATTATTATTATTATTATTATTATTATAATATATTCTTTTTATAATCGCTACTATTATTTTTTTTATCACTATAATCACTACTATTACTTTTATTATTCCTACTTGTATTATAATTATTATTATTATTACTATCTCCATCTTATTTTTATTTAGTTTGACAGGTGTTTACTTTATATTAGGACAAATTACTATTTGTAAATTTCCTTGATGTAACAACTCAGAATATATATGTTTGATTTGATTTGATCAATGTTACAGTCCTGGAGGTCCAAACTCAATTCTGATAATTCTTGGAGATCATTAAACATCACTCCTAGATTTATTAAAAACTCTGTAAAAGATGTTGTTTTATTTTTTAAACCTTTTTAGGAAGATTTTTTATTTTTGTTCCTTGTAGAATAAACCATCCCTTCTTCAAAATAATTCACCAACCCTTTATAAAATTCTCATTTCCTCAAAAATTGAAAAAAAAATGACACTTATCGTGTATTTAAAATTCAACCAATTTTAAGCAGCTGAATATTTAGTAATTCTGCACATGAATGTAACTCTCTGCAATTTTAAGGGGAAGCATGATACACAACGTAAAGCTTATCGAGAAATGATTTGAATCTATTAATACTTGAAATTTCCCAAATACTATGGCCTGATAATTCCAGTCTATGACTAGCACAATGCCAAACTATAACAGATGAAAACATTTCTGTGATTAATTTGAAAACTTTTACATCTTAACATCACTTCTGCGCCATCACATACTAGAGATACTAAATAATTCCTAAAATATTCTTCTGTCATCCTATAAGAATAAAGACATTTGAGTAAAGCATCTTTTAGCCGTAACGATTTCAAGTTCCACTAAATCTAAAAATAAATTGACTGGTGAATTCATTCCACTACCCTTTACACAGCACTGAATGTACACTATCAATATCAATTTTTGGCTTATTGTGGTTGACTCATCAATCATTAAGGAAATCTACTCTTTGGTTTAATGACATCTGCAAGCATCTTTTTCCTCATTTTGTTACCTATATGATTGACAATGTTAATGCATGCGTTTGTAGAATGAAGAATACGACAAATTTCAACTCTGTTAATTTCTTAAAAATCAATTTCCATTTCAAAGTTATTAAAGAACTGATTTCCTTTTGCAACTTTATATGCAGCTCAAAAAATGTTTGCTGTTACAATTTTCTCACATGTTGAAGACTTTAAGGTATTGCTTGAAAAAGTTTATTTTTTAGCTTCTTCTACCATCTTTAATGCAGTATGGTTCACTTTTTAGTAGGTAGTGCAGTTGAGCTTTTTTTTTCAAAAACAGACCCACTCATTTTTGGAGCTCTGTTTTTTACTCTAATGTCCTGCAACGTTGTAGTTGGTGTAATTGTCTGCGGTGAGTCTGTAAGAAAATATTTGATCACAAAGAATCTGCAGATTCTTTGTGATCAAATGTTTTCTTACATAGTGAACTTAACATTTGCTTTGTTCTATCTTTGCCATAATAAGAAACTTTAAATTGACGTTGTAATTTTGATTTTTTGTTACATTTGCACTTAATTCTACTTTTTCTGAATTGGAAAGTCAATCAAGGAGAAGCTAATAATTTTTTTCATATGGGTTGTTTTGTTTAATTGATTCTTTTATAGCACTTTTTGAATATATTAAGTTATAACTTTGAATTTAAAACATCGATAACAAGAACTCATTAATGATATAATAAAAACTACTGTCGCAAATAACAAAAAGTCTGTATTCAAATAATAGATTTTTTTTAAATAGTGAAAAGCATTATGAGAAATTAAGACAAACAACAGAAACAACAGAATTTCTTAAAAAAGCATATGGTTGTGGCATTGATATTTAGACAAAAAAACATTTAGGCGTCATAAAAACAAACACTTTTAGGAAAATAGGTTAAAGTAAATTCTTCTTAAGCAAATTTAGTTTTAACTAATGGCTAAGAAACAATAGATTCTAAAATGCAGCGCTATAATGTTTTCAAATCTGCAAAAAGTGTTTTACTTGATCTTCATGATCCAAATATACATTTTCAATTTAAAAAATTAAAATTTTTTTTTTTAAATAAAAATATTTAATAACTGCAACATTATAATATTCTTATGTCAGGAACAGGGAGCAGAGGGAGCAATAGTCCCCTTATGTCAGGAACAGGGAGCAGAGGGAGCAATAGTCCCCTGAACTTTCAAAAAAATTCTATTTTTTTCATTCAAATTTTGATTCTGACTGCCTTAGCCTCCTTCAAAATCTATTTCTGCAGCACCTCCAACTTTCTTGAAATGTGCTCAGTAACTTTCCATAGGGTCATTTTAATAAAATTTAAACAATAATTATATCTATTTTACATTTTAAAGTTATTTAACCACAATAAAAATCTAAAGGTTATTTGATATCAAGAAATCAAGACAACAAATCTGTTTGAGAACAAAGAACAAAGCAAGCAGATGTTATGAAAATTACCCGGATATCAAATTTAGAGTCCCTTGGTAAACGAAAATCTTAAATAAAAATAAGGGCAATCAATGTTCCGTGTCATTATGTAAACATCTCTATTTTTTTTGTAAAAAAGAAACAGAAAAAAGTCAAGAAAATATCTTCAATAGATTTGAACCTTTGACTTATAAATTTATATAGATATTATGACATAATTATGTTGAATTAATATGTAATTTGAAAAAAAAAAAATGAATTTTACATAAGACAAATTCATTTTTTTTATTCTAAACATTAATTAGAATCTGTTCATAAAGCATTAACTTAAGGAGAATTTATCCCAGGTTGAACCTGGTACACAACTTTTTTTATCCAAGGGTGAACCTGGTACACAGCTTTTTTTTATGCAAGGGTGAACATTGTACACAGCTTTTTTGAATTGTACTCAAACTGTTAAATTAATGATTTAACAGTAAACATTACATTTTTTCAATCTTCTGTTCTGACTAGTCCTTGTAAGATTTTTTGCTGGAATATGGAATTTATTTTAAAAACAAACTTTATTTATTTTCAATATATACACAATAACTTTATTTTGAACTATAATATATAAGTTAACTCTGTTCAAAATATGAACGGATAACTTGATAGAATTTGACAGATCATTTGTTTTAATATTAAATTTATTTAAAAATAAAAATTATTTAAATAAAATTAAAATAAAATCGCTAAATAATAATTGTAAAAATAAAATTGTTAAATGTCTTTTAATTGTAACAACACTTAGTGCAACACTAGTGATAAGACTTTTCAGTTTCGGGATAAGATTTGGAGCCTTGGTGATAAGATTTGGAGGCACGGTAATTAGATTTGGAGGCTTGGTGAGTGTCAAAAGACTTTTTTTAAAAGTTCAAACATTCATCTATCGAACAATTGTGTATCTGAATAATATACAAAACATAAAAGAAAGAATGTTAGAAAAACGGCATGTTTCAAAATTGGAGGGTAGCCCCGGACACATAGTTTAAACATGATTTTACCTCTTTTTTACCAGTGTGACACAAATGTAATATAAAATAATTTAGCATTGGACTGTTCTCAACACATTTTTAAAGAAATCGACTTTAAAAATTGCCACCGATATATAAGGAATGAGAATGAAAATGTCATCATTTAAAAATATAAACATAGGTTTTTTTATAATGGAAATAATTCCTTTAAACACACTTTTTTCAAATCTAATGTTTTTTTATTGGAATTGAGTCACTGTTATAGATTTGTGCATTATATTAAATGTAATAATATTTATATAAAAAAAGTTGTTTATTATTATTATTATGTAAACGAAATAAGTTGTCTGGAGCCACTCTCCAATCATGTGTCCAATACCACCCGATCATACCTCATTCACAAATACAAGTTTAAAAACCAGTGAACTAAAGTTTTAAATGAACTTTTTTTTTATAAACTATTGTAAATAAAAATGCATCTTTAATCATTAAAAAGTTA